GGCACTATAGATGCCACCACACTAAGGAAGGAAGGGAGACAATAACCATGTGGCACTATAGATGCTACAACACTAAGGAAGGAAGGGAGACGAGAACCATGTGGCACTATAGATGCCACCACACTAAGGAAGGAAGAGAGACGAGAACCATGTGGCACTATAGATGCCACCACACTAAGGAAGGAAGGGAGACGAGAACCATGTGGCACTATAGATGCTACGACACTAAGGAAGGAAGGGAGACGAGAACCATGTGGCACTATAGATGTCACCACACTAAGGAAGGAAGAGAGACGAGAACCATGTGGCACTATAGATGCTACGACACTAAGGAAGGAAGGGAGACGAGAACCATGTGGCACTATAGATGCCACCACACTAAGGAAGAGAGACGAGAACCATGTGGCACTATAGATGCTACCACACTAAGGAAGGAAGGGAGACAAGAACCATGTGGCACTATAGATGCTACGACACTGAGGAAGGAAGGGAGACGAGAACCATGTGGCACTATAGATGCCACCACACTAAGGAAGGAAGAGAGACGAGAACCATGTGGCACTATAGATGCCACGACACTAAGGAAGGAAGGGAGACGAGAACCATGTGGCACTATAGATGCCACCACACTAAGGAAGGAAGAGAGACGAGAACCATGTGGCACTATAGATGCCACCACACTAAGGAAGGAAGGGAGACGAGAACCATGTGGCACTATAGATGCCACGACACTAAGGAAGGAAGGGAGACGAGAACCATGTGGCACTATAGAAGCTACGACACTAAGGAAGGAAGAGAGACGAGAACCATGTTGCACTATAGATGCTACGACACTAAGGAAGGAAGAGAGACGAGAACCATGTGGCACTATAGATGCCACCACACTAAGGAAGGAAGAGAGACGAGAACCATGTGGGACTATAGATGCCACGACACTAAGGAAGGAAGGGAGACGAGAACCATGTGGCACTATAGATGCCACCACACTAAGGAAGGAAGAGAGACGAGAACCATGTGGCACTATAGATGCTACAACACTAAGGAAGGAAAGGAGACGAGAACCATGTGGCACTATAGATGCCACGACACTAAGGAAGGAAGGGAGACGAGAACCATGTGGCACTATAGATGCCACCACACTAAGGAAGGAAGGGAGACGAGAACCATGTGGCACTATAGATGCTACGACACTAAGGAAGGAAGAGGGAGAACCATGTGGCACTATAGATGCTACGACACTAAGGAAGAGAGACGAGAACCATGTGGCACTATAGATGCTACGACACTAAGGAAGGAAGAGAGACGAGAACCATGTGGCACTATAGATGCCACCACACTAAGGAAGGAAGGGAGACGAGAACCATGTGGCACTATAGATGCTACGACACTAAGGAAGGAAGAGGGAGAACCATGTGGCACTATAGATGCTACGACACTAAGGAAGAGAGACGAGAACCATGTGGCACTATAGATGCTACGACACTAAGGAAGGAAGAGAGACGAGAACCATGTGGCACTATAGATGCCACCACACTAAGGAAGGAAGGGAGACGAGAACCATGTGGCACTATAGATGCTACGACACTAAGGAAGGAAGGGAGACGAGAACCATGTGGCACTATAGATGTCACCACACTAAGGAAGGAAGAGAGACGAGAACCATGTGGCACTATAGATGCTACGACACTAAGGAAGGAAGGGAGACGAGAACCATGTGGCACTATAGATGCCACCACACTAAGGAAGGAAGGGAGACAATAACCATGTGGCACTATAGATGCTACAACACTAAGGAAGGAAGGGAGACGAGAACCATGTGGCACTATAGATGCCACCACACTAAGGAAGGAAGAGAGACGAGAACCATGCGGCACTATAGATGCCACGACACTAAGGAAGGAAGGGAGACGAGAACCATGTGGCACTATAGATGCCACCACACTAAGGAAGGAAGAGAGACGAGAACCATGTGGCACTATAGATGCCACCACACTAAGGAAGGAAGGGAGACAAGAACCATGTGGCACTATAGATGCCACGACACTAAGGAAGGAAGGGAGACGAGAACCATGTGGCGCTATAGATGCCACCACACTAAGGAAGGAAGAGAGACGAGAACCATGCGGCACTATAGATGCCACGACACTAAGGAAGGAAGGGAGACGAGAACCATGTGGCACTATAGATGCCACCACACTAAGGAAGGAAGAGAGACGAGAACCATGTGGCACTATAGATGCCACCACACTAAGGAAGGAAGGGAGACGAGAACCATGTGGCACTATAGATGCCACCACACTAAGGAAGGAAGGGAGACGAGAACCATGTGGCACTATAGATGCCACGACACTTCTGTGGAACCAGGTCTGCAAGAAGGAGGGTAAAGAGACAGGAGAGTGACGCTGTACAGCAGATACCATAAACATAACGGCAGAACAGAGTCCACAAGAAGGAGGAAGGAAACCTGTTTGGAACTAAATAATGTTCAGTATTTAACCATGTTACATTGTTCTGTATCAAAAATAAACCTAAGATACACTGCAAAAAGTGTTAAGTAATACATCTAAAAATGCTCAAATTTGTCAAAATGTGTCTTTGCATTTTACAGACCAAAGCGCTTTACAATGTTCAGAGTTCAGATATTGTTCCATTCTCTCCACACGGTGAAGCGAGACCTGAACACACTGGTCCATCAAAGCCTCCGACCAAACACCCTCCGTTCACTCATTCACTCATTCCATTCAGACATGGTACATGGTTTTGGTTGGAAGGGGAAACCGGAGCACTCGGAGGAAACCTATGCGGACATGGGAAGAACATGCAAACTCCACTCAGAGAGGCCCTGTTCCGACCGGGAATCGAACCCAAGACCTTCTTGCTGAGAAGTGAGTGTGCTAACCACGAGAGAGAGAGAGGAGAGAGAGAGGAGAGAGAGAGAGAGAGAGGAGAGAGAGAGAGAGGAGAGAGAGAGAGAGAGAGAGGAGAGGGAGGAGAGAGAGAGAGAGAGAGGGGAGAGAGAGAGAAGAGAGAGGGGGGAGAGAGAGAGAGGAGAGAGAGAGAAGAGAGAGGGGAGAGAGGAGAGGGAGGGGGAGACAGAGGAGAGGGAGGAGACAGACAGGAGAGACAGGGGAGAGAGAGGAGAGGGAGGGGGGAGACAGAGGAGAGGAAGGAGAGAGAGGGGAAAGAGAGGAGAGAGAGGGGAGAGAGAGGAGAGAGAGGGGAGAGAGAGGAGAGGGAGGGGGAGACAGACGAGAGGGAGGAGAGAGAGAGAGAGAAGAGGGAGGCGAGAGAGAGAGGAGAGAGAGGGGAGAGAGAGGAGAGACAGGGGAGAGAGAGGGGGGAGAGGGAGGAGAGAGAGGAGAGAGAGGAGAGAGGGGAGAGAGAGAGGAGAGAGAGGGAGGGAGAGAGAGAGAGGAGAGAGAGAGGAGAGAGAGAGAGAGAGGAGAGGGAGGGGGAGACAGACGAGAGGGAGGAGAGAGAGAGAGAGAAGAGGGAGGCGAGAGAGAGAGGAGAGAGAGGGGAGAGAGAGGAGAGAGAGGGGGGAGACAGAGGAGAGGGAGGAGAGAGAGGAGAGAGGGGAGAGAGGGATGAGAGAGAGAGAGGAGAGAGAGGGAGGAGAGAGAGAGAGGAAGAGAGGAGATGCACAAGCATGGGATGTCCACAGATGACACTTTCCTCTCGTATAAGACCCTCGTCCCACTCCTCACCCTCTGCACAGGAGCTGCCCTGGTCTCCCCCTCCCTCCCCCTCTCTCCCCCTCTCTCCCCCTCCCTCCCCCTCTCTCCCCCTCCCTCCCACACACACTTACGCTGAGGCGGCTGGGCATCAAACGGCATCATCATTTTAGGCCTCATCCCGCGGCGGCCTCCCAGAGTCGACATGCCGTCCTCAGACTCGAGCCCTAAAACGCAGGCTCAGCTTTAATTCAAATTCAGCCGATTTTAAATGTTTTGGAAAAGGACTTTTTATTCAATAGAGAGTGAGTGAAGCAGACGAGAGAGGCATGAAGAAGCAACACTCAAACAAACGACGTTTGGACGTTCATTTAAGACACACATTAGCCTCCTGCAGCTCGGGAGACACCAGTAGCATTAGCTCTCCCTGTACAGTAGGTCCCATTCCGTTTTGTCGCCTTTCACGCGTGAATCACATAAGACTCACGTGTGATTCACGCGTCTTTTATTTTCCCTCCTCCCAGTGACGTTGCAATGACCAAAACAACCACCAGGTGGCACTTGTGAGCAGGGTTACATTGGCGAGTTTCTGCCCCGCGCACATCGACAATCTGGTTAAAACGGGCAACTCCTTGTAGCAGGCCAGTCTCTGGAATAACCCGCAGACATTAAAACTACTGCATATAACGTAAACTTTTGCATCACGTTGGTGATCTTTCCAAAAAGAGAGAATATCGTTATGGAAAGAGAAACTATTGGTAATATAACGCTGAACGTTATTTGACTCAAAGAGCTCCGCTGGTGTCTCCTCCCACTCAGAAAAAAAGCAGACGCCTTTTCTCTGGCATCTCTAACATTTATAATAAATACATAAATATAACAATCATAATGAAGATGCTTTCAAATAATTTAGCAAGCTGTAATTCATTTATTTTAACTCCCTGCCAAACTTCTCTCGCTGCTCCTCTCCTCTCCTCCGCAAATCACTAAATGAGGAAAAGGGAATATTCACTCAATCTTCTTCTTCTTCTTTTCTTCTTTATTGTTTATTGAAACAGGGACAGTGTACAAAACCATTAGTCTTTACAAAAGAAGAGATGATTTGTACCAGATTTAGCAAAGTAGCTATTTTCCATCTGCAGTCCCTGGACAGGTGAGTACAAAAAACATTACAATCTATAAATCTAATCTACAATAAAATCACTATATAAAATACATTAGTTTTCTGTACACTTCTAAAAAAAACATATAAACAATCCCTACAGTTTACAATACATTCATCAATGCTGACACGATTGATGATCTAAAATATATTTTTTCAAATTTCGAGTAAAACTATTATGATCTACAGACAGTTTCAGACAGTCTGGAAGCTCATTCCACTGTTTAATGGAGCGAAATGAGAAGGCACATTGTGCAAAGGCCGAGGATCTTTTTGGGATTACACAGTTTTTATTTGCAGTGGACCGAGTGGCTCTCGTATTTTGCTCAGAACAAAGTCTGACAAAGTACTTCAGTGGTGGTGGTGGAGCTGTATTATTAGTGATTTTGAATATAGTTCTTAGATTATTATATAGAATTATATTGTCAAAACTGAGCAGTTTGAACTTACTCAGGATATTGCAATGATGATAACGAAGTGGTTTTTTGTCAAGTGCCTTTAAAGCCTGATTGTACACAGATCTGAGTGGTTTGAGCGTGGTCTCCTTTGCCTGCGACCAGCTAGATAAACAGTAAGTAAAGTGAGGAATTATCATGGCGTTGAAATAAGTGAAAGCCGCCTCGACTGTCAGGCTGTTCCTCATATGCTTTAGAGAGGAAATGTTATATTTAATTGTGTTGGTTACTTTTTTAACATGATTTTTGAATGTCAGTGTTTGGTCTAAATAGAGCCCTAAGTATTTTGTTTCTGTTACATTTTTTAGTGCCTCTCCATTTACATATATGTTAGGCATCTCTTTAGTATTATTTATTTTATGAAAATACATGCCAACTGTTTTACTAGTGTTTAATGTCAGGCATGAAGATTGGAGCCAATTTTGGATTTTGTCCAATACTGAAGACAACTTGAATGTTACACATACAATATTAATATAGTCTAAGCACGTGTACCACATGTAGCCCGTGTATTTACCACAGACTGTAAGTATTAAAGTAATGAGGCCCCTGCTTTAGGCCTCTGCTGTGAGGCCCACACCGTCATCAGTCTCGGTGCCTCTGTGTAGATCACACGTCTGTCCTCGGACTGGATCCAACCCGCCTGAAACCGCGGGACCCGCGGGTTGACTGCGGGTTTCGGGCCGACCCGCGCACCTCGCATGTCCTGTTCAGGGCTGCAGGAGCAATTGTCCATTATTTTAATTGGACTTCTGGTCCATGCACACTGTAAAAAAGATAAAGTTAGTTCAACTCAAAATTTCAAAGCAACCAGCTGCGAAGGATTTTTGAGTTGAAGGCATTAACTTAATTCTTCAAGTTTTGAAGAACTACACTTATTAAGTTGTGTCAGTTAAGTTTTCCAAGTTCTGCCAACTAAGTGTTTAAATTCAAGTTACTGGAAATTTCAAGTCTGTAAAAACTTACTTTTTTAAGTTCAGATTACTGTCCCCTACAATAACTTACTATTTTGAGTTTAAATTAGCCCCCACATTAAAAGATCATGATGTTTATTTATATAGCGCATTTCATGGACCAAGGTCACTTGGGTAGGGGAAACCTATGCAGACACAGAGAACATGCCAATTCCACACAGAAAGGCCCTGTTCCGACCGGGATTCGAACCCAGGACCTTCGTGTCAAGAAGCGAGAGTGCTATCCACTCAGCCACCGTGCCGCACACACTGTGAACCAGAGGGGAAACTTAATGTTTCTAAGACTGACCCAGAGAATATAAAGGGCTACTTTGGCTTGGCCCTGTCGATTACGGTTGGTAAAAATAAATACAGTGATTTTTTTGGTCAAATTAGTTTGTTCAAAATGTTGAATGCAGCTGGTTGCCATAACACATATTTAAATGAGCAAACGCAGATAAGTTGACCTCACTATAGCTCGGTGAACTGTAAAAACGACAACTCAAAATTGTTCACCTTACTCAGATTTTTGCATTCACTGACAATAAAATTTCCAGTTGGAACTGGAACTATCTTGTGAGCCACTTGAACTTTCAGAAGTTCACTACAACTTAAAAGTCAAATCAACTTAATATATCAAATAAGATGAACTTTTCATCAGAAACTTCAGAAAGTGAGTGTCGAAAATCAGACGCATAGGCAGGGATCTTTGCACACCAGAGCAACCTGGAAGTTTATTCACAACAGGTGGTAGATTCAGGCAAAACAATAAACAGGGAAACATTATATATTGGATATATTGGCGTCAGTCAGCTAAAACAACGGATACACAATCGTAGCAGATATACAATCAAAGAACATTGTGTGTCTTGTACTTCTATTTTATCTTGTTTTTGTACTACTATACAGGCCATGGCCTTCTATTGTTCATAAGTTCCAACTGGCAATTTTATTGTCAGTGAATGCAAAAATCTTAGTAAGGTGAACAATTTTGAGTTGTATTTTTTACAGTCCAGCACCAGAAGTCGCATTAATGGTGAGTGTTATAACAACATTATTTAAAAGAATAAATTCAGAGGCTTATTATATATATGATTCGAAGTTTGCGTGTTTCCGTTAGACATTTTCTGATGCGCAAATTAATTTTTTTAAACAT